ACTGGCCAAAAACCCATTTAGTTTGTGATATGACCGTTTTTATAATAGTGCGTGTATCCATAAATCACGGATCGCTTGTCGACTTTCTGCTACATACTCGTATGGCGGGAGTCCCTCAATTGATTGAGACTTGTGTGTGCGGTTGGATTGAATGGGGAGAAGGCGCAGGAGTCAGAGCCATAGCCAGAGCCAGTCTATCCGTTTGATGCCCTTGATTGGTATCAAATGGAGCGAGTCCTTACGCCTTGGCTAATACTTCATGGGCTCTGGGGGATTTGTATCCCGGCATTTTCGAGACGTCAACGCCAGATGCCAGAGTGTCAATTTACTACCCGAGTTAACGTCAACAGTCGAGTCGGGTGCTCCAGCTCCACCGCCAGCTCCATCTCCAGCTCCATATCCAGCTCAAGCTCAGAGCCGGTTTCGGTATCGATTGAGGTTTCTCGATGATTACAACAGTGGAGAGTCAATTTGCGCAAATTATACTCGACACGTTCGTGGGCGCTCTGCGCAGGGAATACTCGTATCTCACATGCGTGCCTGATGGCCTGGATCTGGACGTCGTGCCAAAAGTGTCCACACTTTGGACAGCAACGGGCGGGGGGCGGTGGGATACGCACTACTATCGTTGGGTTTCCATTTCCATAGCAGGTGAATGTTCCTCGGGGACTGTGACAAATGCTTTCGAGAGTCCCAGAGACCCCAGCCACCAACGGGGATGTGGGGAACAAACGGAAAGTTCGGACAGCACTCTGAAATTATCTCTGGAGGAAAGATAATTGAATATATTTGCAAAGTTATCTCATTTCATTCGTCCGACTATGAGTGCTGCGCGTAAACCCGTTTTAAATATGCAACAAAAAGTTGGCAAAGTTCTTTCCAAAATAAGTTTCGTCCTGCCGGGTCCGGAACGGGAATGGGGATGGGAATGACAATGGGAATCGGAATGGTTCTGACAACGTGTGGGCGCCTTTCTCAGTGTCCTTGGCTTCGTTGGAAACCAGAGGAAGTGGAAGTCTTCGAGGGATCAGGTCTAACCTAGCTAGGACACAGTGCTTGACTGTGTTTGGGCCTGTTGAAACTTGTAGAGCCATGAATGAACTTGTTTGGCATGAGGCTTTTTAAGTTTATTCGTGCCACCTGAGAATAGAAAGTTGCGCCATAAAATCAAATCAAAACAATTCAAACGATAATTGTTATGTTTTATGATTTTATTCATGAGAAAGAAAGCCAACGACGAGACCCACAAAATGGCGTCCAGGCAGTGAGATTGGAAAACTTCCTGGCGGCGAAAATTACTCCTGCCACTCCTGCATGCACGGGGGAGTCCTCTTGTCTTCGCTGCAGGATCCCACTCCCATGATTGACACTCCCCCAGAGCTAGAATAGCCAAAGTTGAATAATTGCGTTCCCCGGCCAAGAAATTATTTTCAGATCTCTTAATTTTCCGTATATGAGCCCAAGAGAACGTGGCATGGCGCGTGGGGCACATATGCAGGTACAGCCTTCTCCACTTTCACATATATGTACATATATTTACCCATACAAGTAGCATTATATGTACTCGTACTTTGGAGCATCTGTCTGCTCGCAGCTGGCACTGGGCTGGGGTTTTCCGCTTCAAGTCAGTCGGTCGTTTCCGTCAGTTCTGCTCTCAGGCTCCCATGCAGCGGCAACCGCGTATCTGGTAACGGGGCTGGGAGCTGGAGTTGTGGGCTAAAACGCACAAGCAGGTTATTTGCAATTCCAACGCAAATTTTGAAACCACTGCGCGCTCAGAGCCGTGAAACGAACGCAATTCGAAACAGCGGTGCCGAGTAGCATAAACAAAGGGGCCAAAAACGAGGAGAAGAGCACAAAACTATACGAAAATACATTCTAAAGTATTCGGCGGTTTGCTGGCGGATGCAGACAGAAGTAGACACTCGCAGTCAGACACGACAACCGCGTCCACGTGCCAGCTGTGGCTGCCGCAGCTCGAAACAGTTCCATGGCTGCATACTGCTACACTGCGAACGGCGAGTACGCCCCGCGATGCCACACAAACTTTTATAAGAATAATGTCGCTCACACGCGACGTTGCCCCGTTGGCGCTAATATTTTGTCGAACTAATGAACCGTGCCGCGACGCCATGTGCGTAGGTAGCCACTTTCAACAAGTGGGGAGGAGAAGGCCCAACGTGCTGTTGCTCCCCTGTGTTTGCTCACACTCTTGCTACACGCACATGTACGTACGTGGGTGTGGGTGTGGGTACACAGCACACCTACTCGTCTCCGTACAGCCAGGACTGTCGGAAGCAGCGGCATGCAAACATATTTATGTGGGCACGTGCTGCTGCATATCTCCTCCGAATTTGACATACCACCATCCTTGCAGACGGGAGGGGTCCGCCGGGCCCGGGCCGGGCCGCTGCCTCTGTGCCAGTATGTACATGTACTTCTGATGCTTGTCGTTACCGCGGCCCGAGGCTCAACAGCGAGGGGTGGGCGCACGGCGGGGGGTGGGTGACAAATAACTTTCGACACATGATGCCACAATACTAGCCATGAATTCCATTACCCGCATGCCGCAAAAAACAAGGTTTTTGACATTGAGGAATTTCTATAAAAAATCTTTTTAATATATGTATTTGCTCGATAAATTGGATTGGATTCTATAACGATGGCTATAAAAACCCCTACACCCCTTTGTCTTATGAAATATGAATCTATCAGCATCGCGTCCTTCAAAACTTCATATTTTCACCTTTTTATACCCGGTACTCGAAAAATATGGGTGTATTCGATTTGTGGCGGAAGTGGATGTGTTTAACACACAGGCCCCATAAAGCATATACATATATTTTGATCAGCAGCAATAGCCGAGTCGATATAGCTATGTCTGTCCGTCCGTTTATACGTCTTTCGTAGAGCAGCAAAATGTTGTATACAGCCTCTTGTGATATCACACTGTTATAAGTATATCAAAGGACACAAAGATAGAAAATACGAGAAAAAATACGAAGATATGAGAAAACCAACGCAGAATCATAGAGAATGACCATATCTAGCAAATAGCCAAATCTGGATCAGATCGGATTATAATTTTAGACAACGGCTCCAACACGCTACTCATCTCCTTTTCTCTTCCTTCAGTGTGCGGTCTTCGGCGGAGGGGTCTGTACTGGCTGAGTATCGGCTTTATACTCGATACAATTGTATGTAAAGTCGCGGCCCTAGCTGCGACTTACAACATTCCCGCTCGCTTTAAATAAAATTATATTATTAAATAACTCTAGCCCATTGACATTGAGTCTTTGAAATTGCGTTAAAAAAAACACCACTCCTTAAATGATATATTTAGCTTTTTGATTGTTTAAATAATCCTACATACGTACAATCCTTAATTCTGCGAATCAAAATCAAGGACCTGCATCCTATAGGCGTAAAGAGTTATCCGTTTCTCTATAACTCCTGAGCGGAAACACACTTTCGCTGAATCTCTGAAGGCTTGGAACATTAAATAGATTTATTACGACAAAGTGGATTTTAGCATAAATCAGATTGTCCATAAGGAATGTCAGGCTCGGGTTTTTACAAGACTGTAATAGATAATTCCAGCGTTAATGCAACACACACTGGAGGTGTGTCCTTTCATTCCGCACTACCACTACCCGTGCATGGAGCAGTTTTGAGCCATAAAATATTTACGAATGGCGAGAAGCTTTTCAGAATTTGTACTTGGTTTACGGCCATCGTAAATTGGGTGAGCATAAAGCACTCACATCGAAACACATTTAAGTGAAGTCCTTAAAACAATTCGCCCTAATGGGCAAGACGGCAGAGACGTAGTGCGTCAACCAGACGCCGACCGATCGCTCCAGCAAAAGAAACGAAGCCCCGCCCCCAACCCTCATCGCTAACCACGTGCTCCCCAAGGTCGCTTTGTTGAAGGACATGTGTACATATTTCTGTTAGTTTACTTGCAGCGCCACCAAACTCGACATTCAACTCGATTGCCACAAGACACGTGGCAACTGGCAGTCGGTCTAGAAGCCCTCGCCTAATGGCTTCATAATTTCCAGAGCTGATTTGGCAAGGGCCAACATTCGATGGCTTAGGGCTTAGGTTAACTTGTATATTTATGGCTGTGTCATCAGATCCCAGAGCACAACATTCGTGCCAGTGATATATGAGACGAAATCTAGTTGTAAATCTAATTTTGGCAACTAACGCTAAGAGATCTTTTTAATCATTTAAACACAGACTAAATACTGAACACTCTCTGTAATACTGCTTATAATGTTCATCGGCCCTATAATGGATATATAAACTCGTTAGGTATTCGATGTTAACTGAAAAATCTCAATATCAATATCGAAAACATTCCATGGAAAAACAAAACCCAAAGCGAGAACGCGAACAACCGCAATCGAGTTGATCATGAGTTGCTTAATTTGTACTCCGACTAGCGCAGTAGATCGGATATTCACTAGTAGCTCTGCACGACATACCGTTTTGTTTCGTCTAGTCAGAATGCAGATCTTGAGATCTAAGTCTTGGGTAATCCAAGTTATTCTTGATTTATGTCTGAGCATGTCTAACACAGAAGAAGAACACATAAGAAGAACTTTCGTGTTTGCAGTTTTGAATCGAAGTGGTTCTGCCGGTTGATGGCCTTGAAACACTGTTTTATTTGTAGCAACAGTAACCTCCAGAGAATTGGTGCACGCGTTAGAATCTGTCTACTAATCTGTATAAGCGCTGCTGGGTATAGTTGATATTTATTTTGTGGGTCCATCTTCTTCTTACAGATACCGGTTTTTATGCTAATTTTTAACCAGCAAGACGGAAAACCACTCGGCAGACTGCGGACGCACAGAGCAACCCATTGTCATTATCGTCAATGTGCGACTAGTTTGGAAACACTTCCGCGACGAATAAAGCTAAGGCTGACGGCAGAAGTGCCACAAAATTCCTCTTACTCACAAAAATATTCACAGAATTAACTCAATGGAGGCATAAAGTTTACTCTGGACGGAACACAATTAAGACTAAGCTTTAACATTTAAGCGCGGATGCTGAGGTACATATATTCAGATTTAGGCAAGAGAAGAGGGCAAGTAATAGGTGCCTACTGTGCTGGAGACAGGGCTGGGCGTCGGAGACGTATAGGAGTAGCCAGAGGGCGCTCTCGTCGTGGAGCTGATCTCTGGCAGCGCGGTGGTGCTCTCCCCTGGGATCACTTCTGTCGTACTGGTCGAGGCTGGGCGCCCGGGATGTACTGTAGGCTTTGGCGTTTCGATATCACCTTCTGTTGTTGTCGTGTAGACGGTTTGGGTAGTTTGAGTAGAGCTGTCTTCCGGAGTAAAGTCTGTGTTTACCTCTGTGGTGTGGTGGGTGACTGGCCTCTCCGTCGTTGTAGTGCTGCTTCCAAAGGACACGAATTTGTTGAAACCGAACCCGAAGCCACCACCCGACGACTTGGCCTGCAGCACGCTGTTCAGCAGCTGAATTTTGGTGGATATCAGAGTGGAGATAAGCTGTGTGTTGATGGGCGAGGCCGTCGCCGCACTTGTACTTCCGTAGCTACCACTGGAACTGAAGGCACCTGAGCGAAGAAAGTAGAACGTTACTTTGTGGGGTCCCTGGAACTAACGGCTGGATTACCACTGCTCGGCGCGAACACCTTGATGAAGATCGGCTTAGCATCCGCCATAGTGGCTGCACTGCAAAAAAGCAGAGCCAAAATTGAAATAGTTCTAAGCATGTCGTCTTCTTCCACGTTGTGACTGGCCCCGCGAGACGACGTTCTCTTTTATACCGCACCGCACGACGACGGACGGGGTCGGTCTCGTCGGAGATGCCGATACCGATGCCGATGCCGATGCCTCAGCTGTTTCTGTTGTCATTTGATGATTATCGCGCGCTTAGGTTTGTGCTGTGAAGTGGCCAAGTGGCTTGCAAACATGATTCAACTGGCCCTGCCCCTGGATGAGGCCGCCGCTGTCAGCGAGTGGTAAGTGGTAGGTAAGCAATCTCATCCAGTAATTTATCGTCACTATGTTGGGCCAACAATCTGATGTAGAGAGCGAGAGCTTTGACTGACATCCACATCCAAGCTTATTTGACACCTACTCTACCTTACCTACAAAGAGAATGTAAATATCGAACCAAAACTTCGAGTTTAGAGCTCCATGTCTCTAGTCTTAGATAGCCTCAAGTCAATTAAAAGCTTTCCAAATAAACCAACCACCAGTTGTTGTTTCAGTTCGTAACTTAGTTGTCTATGATATGCAAGAATCTTTAGATTCGAAAGGAACTCCAACGGACGAAATCCTACAGTGAAAATCAGAACAAGCCGGAATGATGTTGGAGCTACATACGTGGGTATCCACGTATACTAAAGCGTACAGCGTACCACGTATTAAAAGCGAATCATACCATCCATCGAAAGTCAGAATCCAACCAGAATAGTATGTGCCTTTTGGGTTCTACAGTCAGTTTTGGTACTCTCAACTAAGTACATTTACAACCGAGCCTTTTTAATCATTTTTTTGTCGACTGTGCTAACATTAAATCCATGATCGCTGGATTTAAAAAGGAGTCCCTATTGGTATTCCCATATGATTATTGTATAGCATACTTTTTTGATGAAAGTAAATTGTCAGAGCTGCGTCCTGGCTCTCCAGAGACAAGCTACAGGACCAAGGCATCGTTTTTAAATTGGCAAACCCTCTTGAGATCTGGTTTCACATGACGCAATTATCCACTGGGCAAATATTACCAGCTTATCCAAACTAACTCACATATACTCGTACGAATGATTGCATATCCTTCTTACATATATAAAGGGCAAATAGAATATATGCATAGCACACATACATACGCGTGCCGTGGGCCAGGGCCGGGGCCTTCCATTCTGATTCGGTCGCTTACATATTTATACAATAGACACATAAGTAGTAGTTTTATACTTTACGACAGCCGATGTTTGCCTTAGAGCTCATCCCAATGAGCCAGCCATAATTCGTTACATCATGAGCTCCCACTAGTGGACTCCCTACACCTCCACCCTACAGTCCGCTAGCTGGTAAAATATTCAAAGTATTGCCAAACACTTGCCGGCTTGAAGTATTCATGAGTGCCTGCCACACAGACGGCTGTGTGGGTGTATTTATTTATTTGCTGCTGCCAGAATTATATGTTTGCATTCATTTATGCAAACAGCATAGGCCTAAGAACGTGAGTGCGAGTGTGTGTGTGTGTGGGGGGGGGGAGGCTGTGCGGTTGCTGTGGCGGGTGTGCACCGTCCATAACAGTAAATTTTTATTGGCAACACTTTGACTCGTAAAGAAAAACGATGGCCACCGCCTATTCTGGTTCATCGTATCCGATACGATACGATACCCTGTTCACAGCCACCACAGCCTGATCCGCCCAGCAGCGCAGCGGTGGGCTTTTAATAATTTAACCACTACTATTTAGTTTCCATTTCCGCAAAATGCTTTCGTGTTAACGCCTCGAATGCAATAAATAAGCTGGTTCGGCCAACGTTAACAGAACAGCAGCCAAACAACGGCAGAACCACCCCGCCCCGTATGAGGCCCAATACATGTGGGCGTGCAGAAAGCAAAAGCAAAAACAAATCCCATAATGTTAACTCATAAATATTTCACTTTATTGCGCAACCTCAAACAAGGGTTACTGCCGCTTGAGCGGTGGCGAAGTCAAAAAATGCTTCATAAATTATTGGACGGCTCATACACTAAACATTTTTCTCTTCTGGCGTTTCACAGGACTCCATCGTTCCTGTAAAAGGTTTCAGCATAGGCCGAGCTTCGAACTCTGTAATTCTTGTTGATTTCCATATCAATATTTGCATAGCCGACAGTCGTTTCTCTTTGATTTCCGAGAATTTGATTGTTAGTGGAGAGCTAAGGAGAGGATTACTGCACAGCAGAATTTATTTGTTTTCGGTTAGTGGGGATCACTGCAAGTGCACCGCCCATGAGGCCATTGCGCCCACTTTTTTGAGTATATCGTGGCTTTGAGGCTTGGGGTACAGGCCCCGATTTGAGTAGCTTTTGGCGAAACTATGCTTTATTAACCCTTAATGAATTAGCTTAACTTATTAAGTTAAACTAAAGAAGATATGTAATCGTGTGCAATACATTCTAAGCTAGTCAGAATTCCCTGTAGAACCAAAGGGCGCTACAAACCACGCAACTAGTTACGCGGAATGCGATCGCCGACCTGTCGAATCTAATCCGAAATACGAAGCTGTCAAATCGCGACAATTAGCTACAATATGCAACAAAAAAGTATGTGAATCGCCACATTCTACTGTACTGTGCTCATGGAATGCAAGACACTAAAAATTAAACAAAAAAAAATGCATTAGTCCCCGCGCGTTGCTTTCAAAATCTAGTTCTTGGAAGAGAAATAATTCCTAGTTTCATCAAATGCTATTAAACAAGTACGTAACGACAAATTAAATATTTTAAATAATTAGATAGTCATTCGCTTAGCTAATATAACGCTTTTGTATGTATCCAGTTATGTATTAATCTCATTAAGATAACTGCTCCAACACGCTCAACCTTTAATGTATGCCATGGAGCATGGCTTTCCTTATTCTAGCTATACTTAATAAAGATAAGCCAACTTGATTAATTTGTTAACCACCGGAGTCGGCACCCAAAATAAGGATTCTCTTGCTTTTATAGTCTTTGGAAAGTAGACGACAAGCAAGTCTTTCAGTCTCGGTGTATTCGGTGTATCCCTTCTGGCGATTATATACTTGTCTTTACATTTCAACCAATCTAATATAATTGAACTTAATGGAATTCCTTGAGTACTGAGCATAAAACTGATTTTATTTGCCTCTTTCTTCCAATTAGTGCAGGTCCGTGAAAAGTATCTAGTAAAAATAATAATGACAATAAGTAATTTAATTCAATCCATATTTGGAGCGATCCCACACTAGCGTATAGTGTATATAACAAAACAGACTCAAGATGAAATGTTAAAACTTGTTACCCGGCAGTCAAAATATTTAAGTAGAAGTGCTTAAAAATCTTTTAAATTGAATATCGACTTATCTGTCTGTCTATCGTCAGTCTGGTCACTAAGGTGTCACAAAAAGTCATTTGGCTCCGCTATTCTTCATTTTTTAAGCGTACTACTCTGATTGATACCCGCACACACGCCCTTAGCTCGACTAAATGGTTATTCCAAAAACTTATCAATGTTATCTCCGAGAAAATCGCTTAATTTCCACTTAAGCTTAGCTCCTAATGGGAGGTTTAACTAGCGACTCCCAATGTACCTCTCTCTCTTATCTTGCCTCTAGTAAAAGACTAAAGACAATATAAATGTCTTGGCGGAGTCTGAGTCCAATGCTAGTCCTGTAGCTAATGGTCGCCTTTGGGTTGGTGCAATGACGGTCCCCATTGCCGCCTTCGGGTTTGTCGTCTTGGGCACGGGGTGAAGAATGAAGGTAGACGCAGATGCAGATGAGATGACTTGCCGCACGTTCACATGAAAAGTTTTGATGGTAAACACAAATTATCAGGAAGAACTTTGGGGCGCTCACTGCCGGACTACGGTGCCGAGCGGATGGCAAAAGTAAAAGTCAAAGGGAGCACAATGATGTTACTTTTTCGCAAATAACGTAATCGGAAAAGTTGCCAAGTTTTCCTTGCTAGCTTTCATATTCTTCTTTTGACCGGCTGCGGCCCGCAACTTATTGAAAAAATGCCATTCAATTGCCTTGTTACCAGTAAAAGGAGACCAACGCAGGCAGCAGCAAACGTAGAAGAATGGGTCTGTGGCGGTCTGCCAGCAGAGTTGCCAAGAATGCGATGGCTTTGGCACTAGCTTCGCTGGTGCTTCGCTGTCTCTCCGTCCCTCCATCGACTATTTTTTAGCGTACTCGTATTCCCTTCCACTTGCAACGCCTGCGAAAAGGAAAGTGCGAAATCGGCACACCAGGCGACAACGACAACCCTGGCGAATCCCTGGGGGCTGTTCGCGGACAGCACTGAAGAGGGACTCCCGGCACTACTGAAGCTTCAACAGCAACAGTGGCCAAGCCAAGCCGTGGAGGGAAGTCCCCGTTGCCGTTGTCGATGTAGTGGAAAAATGCCATAATGCTACAACTACAAACAAGAAAACAACAAGCTGCGTAAAAGTTTTAAGTGCTTTCGAACATTTTGACAAGTTGACTTTTTGTTGGTTTGAATGGAACCAATAATGTTCCAAAGCAAACTTATTTTCCTGACATAATCAATGAAAACATCGAGCACGATTGAGTTTAGATCCGAAACTAGGCTAGCATCGGCATCAGCATCGGCTCTCTCTCCCCAAAAGCAATTCTGAAACCAACTACTTTCAAAGGCTTAAGCCAGGAGCACATACTAAATACTGAACCGGGCCTTGTGACTGAGCTCCCTACTTATTCTCAAGCAATTACATTGCACATTCCGCTTTCACTCATGTCGCCTTTTATCAGGATTAGCTGAGGCTCTGGAACTCTACTTACATATATGGGGAAGCGGATAGTGTAATAATTTATTGGTCTACTTAGTCCCGTCCCGAGCCCTTGGGGACAAATAAGAATATGACGAGCTTTCTTGGATTCGTTCATCTCAATGCCATTCAGCTATTGGATCCATCCATAATTGTCTCTCTGAAAATATCGAAACATTTCCAATCGAAAAGCTTCTACCAAGCAGCGCCACACGTGATTAATAATTAATAAACTAA